TTAGTGATTCTTCAAAAATCTGACCAAACCGGACATTCTCCTCCCCAAATTCTTTCACAATTCCTTTCTTCTCCCCTCTAAAATTTACTACAGAGATGAAGACTTGTGTTTTTTTTTATTACAGCATTTTCACATGCAAAAAAAGAACCAGTTTTGCAAAGAAGAACTAAGATTTAAAGAAGCAAAAACAGTTGTAGAAAAAAAATTAATGCAGCTGGAGAGAGAATAAATAGAAGAAGGGGCCATTTCATTCTCTTTGATTTTCAAGGGGAAATGAGATTTATGGGTTGAAGGTATATGCTTCAGTGTTAGAATGTTTTTACTTTTAATCAATGTTGAAACATTTCCTCCTTTCTTGTGTGGCTTCTTGCCCAGTAGCACAGGAAATATGAAAAGGATCAGGGATGGGGTGAGCATCTCATTCAGTACACACAGCATTGTCCTTTTCTTCCTCCCATTCTTGGCAGGTAACTCCAGTTCCTACATGCGAAAATGAAGACCGTCTGACTTAAACTCCCTCATCCCACCCCTTCCATTCCTGTTCCTGTCTATACTCACAGCTTTCTAATTGCCCTTACTGTCTCGATAGAATCAGCAGTCCTCCTCACTGAGACTCTTTTCCAGAGAGCTCTAACGCCTTCCACTCACCCTACCTCCATGACATCTCCTCAGACTACCCTCTCTCTGCAGCATCTACACTCTTTCATCTTGAATCCTTTGCCATCCAACAATCCCCATCATGAAAAAAAAAATGTTTTTGAGAAGTTCCTCTCAGTGTTTGAGAAGAAATAGGAGGGAAGGAGTAATGATGTGATATTAGTATGTCAGGATCATCTGTGAGAGCCTTGAAATGTACGTACATTCCTCACCCATCTAACAGGACCCAGAACCAGGGTCTCAAGAATGTTTGATTTCTCCCTCTTCCTGTGCCCTAGTCACCAAACCCTGCTCAATCTTTGTCTTTCTTTCAGATCCATCCTGCCTTTCTTTTCTCACTACCCCAAATCAAATTCATCCCTCCTTCTGACCATTCAAGAATTTCTAGAATGGCTCTTTTTTTTTAAACAAAGAGATGGGGTCTCACTATGTTGCCCAGGCTGGCCTCACATTCCTGGGCTCAAGCAACCCTCTCACCTCAGCCTCCCAAGGAGCTGGAACTGTAAGTGTGTGCCACCCCGCCTGGCTATGTTTTCTGTGTCAGGCATGTGTTAGGCAAAAATACAATGATGGAGAAAATACCAGAACAAGATCAAATGGCTGCCCTCCAGGGATTCAGTCTATGAGGGACGCACACAGTTTCATGTGAAGAGAAAGGTATTTAGAGGTGCCATGAGAAGGGACTAAAACGCTCCTTGTGTCTGGACTGAGTCTCGGAATGTGAAGAACTTAGGTGGGTAAGGGAGCAAAGGCATTGCAGACAGAGGGAGCAGTCATGAGGAAACATAATACACTTGAGAAAAACACATGCCGTTTGATATGCCTGAAGTTCATATTGTGAATTTGCCACAAATTAAGCTGCAAAGGCAGGTCAGGGTCAGCTCATAGGCTCTTACATGTCATGTTACAGAGTTTGCATTTATAATAAAATGGGAACCTTCTAAATACTTCTTAAAAGGAAATAACATTAGAATTGCATTTTAGAAAAACCAGTCTGCAGGAGGAGGATATCTGGCAGAAGTATGATGAATGCACTGCAGGAAAAAGCCAGAGGCAGAGAACTGTTAAGAAAAAAACTCTAAAAATATTTTTTAAAAAAGAGTGGGCTTAAATTAGTGACAATAGAGATAGAGAGAAGGGATCTTATATCTGATTTGGGAGAAATTAGGAGCTAAATTGGGTGTGGGAAAACCTAAGGTCATCATGAGATCTACGACTCTGGAGATTAGGTAGATGGTAGTTAAAATTTTAGAGGTGGGAAATACAGGAGGGTGTAACGAAGAGGGGTGGAGGGAGGGCTGATATGGACGACACGTCTTATTTGGGCCTTTTGTGTTGGAGACGCCTATGGAAATAAGGAATTCCCAGGAGGAAGTCGAAAATATGGACTGACAGATTTGAAAGTCATCAGCACATATGTGATAACAGAAGTGGCTGCACAAGATGTGGCTCGGGACAGCAAAATAGTCACACAAACAAAACATAGCTGGCTGTTGGTTTTGGTGGTGAGGAATGCTTCTTCCTCTTTCTAGGTGTTTCTTTCCATTTAGGGGAAGCCCCGTTAGCACAGCACTCCTAGTCTCTGCCTCCTCATCCACTTTGCTCAGGTCCAGTGCTCCATAACTGCGTTCTCCAATATTAGCTTTATCACTAGTTAAGGTGATATTTTGATCTTACATTTCTGTCTTCTTGGTTAATTTCTTAATTTAGAATTTAGGCAGGGAACAGAGTGCTATTTATGTAGTATACTTAAGAAACCCAAAAAACAAAACCCAAAGTGCCAATGATCAAATTATGGGACATGCTTGTTTCGGCAGCACATATAATAAAATTGGAATGTTACAGAGATTAGCATGGCCCCTGCACAAGGGTGACACATAAATTCGTGAGGCATAAGAAAAAAAATTATGGAAAATCCCAATAGAAGATTAACGGGTAGAGTCAGAAGAACTAAAAAGAAAACCATGTGAAAATAAAGAAATAAAAAGAAAATGGTGTCTAGAAGAGGTAATGAGTACTCAACAATGCCAAATGCTGCGTTATTCGGTGAGAGCTATTCCTTGACTGGTTGAAGCTAAAGCAGAGGGCTGAGTAGAAGACACAAGAGAAGAGACACAGTCATGTGGCACGGCACAAAAGGCAGATTTGGAGTAAGACCCACAGAATTTAGATCCTGGCTCCATCTACTATCCTTGGTCTTGGGCAAGACACTAGAACTCCTTAAGTTTTAGTTTCTCCATTTAATATAACGGGGCATGGGAGGATTCCTTTATGAAAATCAGCCACATCTACAAAAAAGTGCTGTTTTAGACTTACTGTAAAACCTGAGTTCACTAGAGTGAACTAGGTGAAGGACTGCAGTATGGAGTGACCTACAGAATCACTCGTCTTCTGCAAATAGAAATGAGAGAGACTGGCACAGAAACAGCAAGAAGGAGTGCTTCCGGAGTCAAATGAAGGCAGGAGTTCCAGGAGCAAAACGTTAAGTGGAGGTGGAAGGTGGGGAGGAGCTAAAAGAAAGGAGGGGAGGCTTGACAAAGGAACTTTATAATCTATATTAACTAGAGTTTTCCAGATGCCCATGTTTGTCCGGGACTCCATTGGCTAGCAAAAGCAGCCAAGCAGAACAGAAGTTTCTATCTAAGCTGTCTTCCTTGCCCCATATCTGGTCACCTAAGCAAGGGAGTGTAAATGGTTTCGGGACCAGTACTCAGGTTCTAGAGAGAACAAAGGCCAAATTAATAACAGACATTATAACGTGAGGCTTAAAGTGAGGTTACGAATGTGAAATACATGGCATTGTCTGGTAAAGAATAAGTGTTCAATAAATCTCAGACATAATCCCGTGTTAGGAACCGAATCATGTCTCCTCTCCTTGCCAAATTCATAGGTTGAATCCCTGGCCCCCAGGGTGACTGCCTGTATTTGGAGATAGAGCCTTTGAGGAGGTAATTAAGGTTAAGTGAGGTCATGAGAGTACAGTCTCATCCAATAGCCCACCTACCCCATGCACAAAGAAAAGCCCACGTGAGGACACAGCCACAAGGCAAAGTTTTTAAACTAGGAACAGCCTCACTGGACACCAACCCTGCTGCCACCTCAATCTTGGACTTCCAGCCTCCAGCAAGGTGAGAAAATACATTTCTGTAGTAGCCACCCAGCCTGTGGTACTTGGTTACGGCAGCCTAACACGTTCCATAGCAGACTGATACACTCCATAAAGGCAAGCAAGTTTTATCACAGGAAGCTTTATTACAAAAGAGAGAAGAAAAAGGTTACAAGGAGAGTTCTAACCTGAATCTCACCTCAGAATGGCTAGAGTGCCCCGCAAAAACAGTTCTTCTTCCCCCAGTCTCTCCGCTCCCCAGAGCCAAGGTTTACATAGCATCACCTGGGAGGATTCTCACTCATTTCATCTGTGGAGGGCCCCAAGAGTCTGCGTTTTAACATGCATCCCAGGCAAAAACACAGAGTTGTCCTGAGGTACACTGCTGAAGAGGCCAGCGAATGCTGAAGTTTGGCCCACGTGTGCCCCGGCACAGCTAAAGTGCTTTTTTCTTTGCACTAAGGCGCCACTGACTCACCAACAGGCACCCATGGAACTGTACCAACCACAGGTGGCGCTTTTTTTTCCTCTTTGTGTAGACACTAATTCTTCTAATACCCTTGATCCCAACTGATTCTGATTCAGGTCTTTTGGAACCACATTTCCTGCTACAGACATAAAATTTATGAAGGCCTCACAATTTCCTAAGGAAAGCTGTATAAATTTTCTTGGGAATAATGTTAAAGATTGACGGTCTGAAAGGCAGATGAAGATTTGCTAGAATAGCCTGCAAAATTACCTTATAACAATAGATTAAGCCACAGAGAAAAAAAAAATGGAGTGATGCCACAGACTGGCAGTATTTTTTTCTTTGGCATTTTCCTCAAGAGACCCTAATATTAAGGCAAGAATATTTCTTTGAGAATTGACACATCGCTGTTGAAAATGCAGAAACGTTAGATAAATAACATTGTTTGTTATTCACAATGGTGAATTTCTAAATTAATCCAGAAGGAAATAACATTTATGTGGGTAATCATTTTAACAAGTGAGGTGGTAGAAGACAACATTTATTTTTAACAATACACAGAAATTCTGCCAAGAAACAGATGCGCTCTCACCATTTGAGAAAAAATGAAAATTCACTATGAGAGAAAACTCAAGGTGTCAACAGAAATTTAAATAAGGAGGCCTGGTAAAGAAAAGCTGACTGAGGTATATGGAGTAAACATTCCTGTCTCTAACATTTGTTCACCGAGGCTGTGGCTTCTGAATTTAATGAAGGGATTATTATGCTCTTGGATGGCACTGGAAAAATCTGTTGGACTAGCAGATCAGCATACAATGTTTCTTCCATGCCTGGCAGGCCTTGTCTGTGAAGCTTATCAAAGGAAAATTCCTCTTCGACTCTTTGCCTGGATCATGTGGAACTTTTGTCAAGGAGCCGTCAGGTCCCTCTGACTATGCATCTGGCCAGTGCATCTGTAGCCAGCATTCTGAGAATTCTTTACCCTTCCTCGAGCTAACAGAGCTGCTGGCTCCACCTAAAAGATGTCACTGCGTGACTGCCGTGTGGTTTGACCTAGAGACTGGAGGGCTTTTCCTTGGCATGCAGTGCAGCGTGGGTCTTGAGTGCCCCCACGTACGTGAAGCTCCTTCCACACTCATCACAAGAAAAAGGCCTCTCCCCACTGTGGTGGTACAGATGCGCCTTCAAACTTCTCTTCTGCAGGAAGCCCTTGCCGCACTCCGTGCACCGGAAGGGCCTCTCTCCACTGTGCGTGTACAAATGGACCTTCAAACTGCCCCTTATGCAGTAGCTCTTGTCACACTCTGGACACTGGAAGGGCTTCTCACCACTGTGGACTCGCATGTGTTCTGTGAGCCTGTACTGCTGCGTGAAACTTTTGCCACACTTAACACAAGAGAATGGCTTTTTGCCACTGTGCTGCAGCAGGTGGCTTTTCAAATTCCCTTTGAGACGGAAACTTTTATCGCATTCAGGACACTGGTAGGGCTTCTCTCCACTGTGGACTCTCAGATGTTCAGTGAGCTGAGACTGATGAGTGTACGTCCTGCCACACTCGCTACACCTGAAAGGCTTCTCGTCCCTGTGTGTCCGCTGGTGGAACCGCATGGAGGCCTTCCAGGAGAAGCTCTTGTCACACTCAGGACACTGGAAAGGCTCCTCCCCGCTGTGAAGCCGCATGTGCTCGGTGAGGTGCGCGCGCCGGCGGAAACTCCGGCTGCACTCGGCACAGGAGAACGGCTTTTCTGTGGTGTGGACCTTGAGGTGCTGGGTGAGCCCTGACTGGTGGGAAAAGGTCTTTTTGCACGCCCCACAGGGGAACTCCTTTTGCCTGCTGTGGACTCTGCTATGGCAGGCGAGCTTGGAGGGCCGGGTAAACCTCTTGCCACACTCCCCGCAGGAGAACGGCTTCTCCTCACTATGCAGACGCTGGTGGGCCTTCATGGCGTTCCTCCAGAAGAAGCTCTTACTACACTCTGGACATTGGAAGGGCTTCTTCCCACTGTGCTGCAATCGATGGGCTTTCAGGCTTCTCTTTAGGCGGAAACTTTTATTACACTCGGGACAAGAAAAGGGCTTTTCCCCTGTGTGCACTCTGACATGCTCATCGAGTTTAATCTTGTAGATGAATTTCCTCCCACATTCATCACAAGAAAATGGCTTCTCTTCACTATGTGTCCTCTGGTGTGTCTTCAAGGTAGCCTCCCGAGAAAAGCTTCTACCACACTCTGGACAGTGGAAGGGCTTCCTCCCGCTGTGCTGGGAAAGATGGACCTTCATCCCTCTCTTCAGGCGGAAGCTCCTGTCACACACTGGACACCGGAAAGGCTTCTCCCCACTGTGCAGCCGGAGGTGCTCGGTGAGCTCACACTGCTCGACGAAACCCTTGCCGCATTCCTTGCAGCAAAACGGCCTCTCCCCTTTGTGCAAACACAGGTGCTTCTTCAAGTTGGCTCTATACCGGAAGGTCTTGTCACATTCAGGGCACGGGTAGGGCCGCTGTCCTGTGTGCACAACCTGGTGAGTGACTAGGCTGCCCTTCAGATAGTAGCTCTTCTCACACTCATCGCACTGGAACCGTTTCTTCTTACACGGGAATCTCTGGCTCCACCTAAGTTCAGATCTCCCTCTGGATTTGCTTTTGTACTTCGGATATTTATAGGGCTGGTTCTCGGAGTGGCTCTTTTTGTGGTTTGCCAAGTCACTCTTTACCTGGAAGACTTTCCCACATACACGGCACGGATAAAATCTCAGCCCTGCTGGAATTTCCAAGTGACCTGGGGTATCCGGAGACTTATGCGATGGATCTTTCTTGTCCTGATTAGATGCTGTGACACTGAGTTTTTTATGTAGAGTCTCTGTTTCTTGGAGACTTGGAGATTGGAAGGTGGTTCTTTGGTCCGATAGAGTCTTTCTCCCCTTCCCTGATAAGGTAGTACACGAGTCATGCTTCTGAAGACCATTTAAATGGGATTCCTCTTGTTTTGTCCCGAGAGTTCCTTGGTCACCTGGAGAACAAAAAAATACCACTCTCATCAGTGGTATGTCTAATCTACAGTGGGATTCAAGGATTGCCTTCATGTCATTAACAAAGAGGGAAAGGGAATCCCATTAATCTCAATGACTTTGTGAAGCTACCCCCCACAGATAAATTATATTTAGCTTTTATATTCCTTTCTCCATGTGTTAAGAAATAGCTTAGCATAAAAAAATTGAAAGCAGATATATCTTGTGAACTATAAATGACCCTCAGAGGGTTAAGCAGAAGTTGCAGATAATTAAAATGAGTTACTCTGGGAATCTGATTGTACTGTTATAATATTTCCTTAGATCTGTGAAATAAACAGCACAATATTTAAGTAGGAAGGCTTAGGTCATATTCTTGTCCCCCTTCTACCATAGATTTCAAGAAAAAATTTCTGGAAGAAATGCTAATAGAAAGTATCTTTCTCAGGAATGTCCAAATGGCAATTTGCTGAATTCACAAACACTGTAGAAATTATTTCCTTTTCCAGAGAACTCTGCATTATAAGAAAGATATATGTATGTAAGCACACTCACTACTGTTCCCAGTGTAACAGCCATGATGACAGGATATAGAGGGGCCTGCGTTATCAGATGATCACCCACTAGATCTGGAGAGGATAATTTCATTCACCTCAGCCATTGTATTTCGGAACTGCTTTTCTTCCAATGTCCTGTTGAATGAGATAATGGAGCTCTCTCTCTTTTTATCTCTTAACCTGGGAGGAAATCTGAGTGGCACTGCCCCCGGAGGACTCTCATTATGCTTGGTGTTCATCTTAAGGAAAACATAGGCCAGCGCGGTGGCTCACACCTGTAATCCTAGCACTCGGGGAGGCCAAGGCAGGAGGATCGCTTCAGCTCAGGAGTTTGAGACCAGCCTCAACAAGAGTGAGACCCCATCTCTACAAAAAATAGAAAAATTAGCCAGGCATGGTGGCGCCTGTAGTCCCAGCTACTCAGGATACTGAGGCAGGAGGATCGCTTCAGCCCAAGAGTTTGAGGTTGCCGTGAGCTAGGCTGACACTACAGCACTCGACTCAGGGCAACAGAGTGAGACTCTGTCTCCAAAAAAAAAAGGACAAGATAAGTAATATTTCCAACTGGATCATGCTATTTAGGAAGTCAGCACTCAACGGCTTTTGCCTAGATCATGACAAGAGCACACTTACCCGTCTCCTGGAATCCTATTTCTCATCACTGGAAGTTTAATCTTCCTATAAACATACTTTTACTATTTAACCCCGGCAGAGGAGCAGTTGTACTTATTGGTTGAGTACCACCTTGTACCAAGGGAATAACACTGATTTTTAGGGATAGCCACCCTAGCTGTTAATTCTTTGGTACTCAAAAAACTTTCCAGGCTCCTCCTTTTCTATAGGATGAAGTCAAACTTTTCACCTTGGCATTCCTGGCCTCAGATAATCTGACACCAACTTATGTTTCCCCTCCTATCGCCTATTATGACTCAAGATGAACAGTCAGTTTCAGGCAGGTTGGTGTCTTCCCTGTTTTCTGAAATATAATGAATTTGTTCCCACCTTTGAGCCTCAGCTCGTGTATTACCCCTGCCGATCATTCTTTCCCTAACCAAATCTGCCCAGGGTTTAGCTATTTACATACCTCCTAATTCCTTTCAGAGTCCCCTGGGAATACTGCTGTCTCTCCTCCATTCTTTCTCTTCTAAATCCCTATAGCACTTTCTACCAATGCGACTTAGTATTTTAACTTATAAGCAGTCTTATTTTATAGTTGACTGACTTAATTGCCATGACACTAAGACAATCAACATCTAGAGTGTAAGGGTTGTTTTATTTATTTATACACACTCTATAAAGTTGTTTGCTGTATCCTAAGTAATATAATACTAATATAGTCCTGTGAGTCTGGAAGGTACTCAGTATTGGTTAAATTAATAAATACATAGACAGCGGCAATGCAATGAAACCCTTGGGAATTCTTTCATCTTCTTGATGGAGCTTGGACCCATTCCCTGGGCTCAAATTCTCTTCTTCTTCAGAGGAGTTCCTTGACTCCCAGGGATTTAGTAAAGCATCCACATACTATAAAGGTGAAATAGTCCCTTAAATATTAGAAGCATTAAGGTATTTCTATGGTTTCCATTATGATTCAATCACAAGGTTTTTAATATTTCTATATTCAAATGGACACCATGGTGTGACTGGGACATGGTTTTTCCTCAGGGCTTTGACAAATGGATCCCTTGCTCTTTTACAAGGAATTCTCACTGTCTTTCCAGGTTTTTTTTTTTTTAATAATGTATATATAACTTCTTTCTATAAAAGTAATGCATTCTCACATTTGCTACCCACTTGAGTAAAGAAAACCAACATTCTCCATCAAAACAATGTTTCTCGGCCGGGGGCGGTGGCTCACGCCTGTAATCCTAGCTCTCTGGGAGGCCGAGGCAGGCGGATTGTTTGAGCTCAGGAGTTTGAAACCAGCCTGAGCAAGAGCAAGACCCCGTCTCTACTAAAATTAGAAAGAAATTAATTGGACAACTAAAAATATATAGAAAAAATTAGCTGGGCATGGTGGCGCATGCCTGTAGTCCCAGCTACTCTGGAGGCTGAGGCAGGAGGATTGCTTGAGCCCAGGAGTTTGAGGTTGCTGTGAGCTAGGCTGACGCCACGGCACTCTAGCCCGGGCAACACAGTGAGACTCTGTCTCAAAAAAAACAAAAAACAAAAAACAATGTTTCTCATTGACTAGGTCTAGCCAACTAGCCAAAAAGAAAGATTCGGGAAAAGAGGCTAGGCAAATTAACGATTCATATCCTCAGAACCACCTTACTCACCAAAACATGGTGACTTTCCAGTGTTCTTCAAGCGCAGCTGCTCATCAGAAGGGCTAATTGTCATTCTTCTTCCGTCTAAGCATTCCTGATCTCCGATTAATAGCATTCTCCCTTGTTCCATCCATGTGATCAAATCTGGCTTGGAAAAAGCACAGCCTGCAAACAGAATCCACACAGACTCAGTCTGGGTTTACTGAGTACTTAACTAAAAATTATTTTCACAGTTGACTTGATTCCTGCAGACATGAGACAAACATTCGGTCAAAAAAATGGAAATCCTTGAAATTACGTGAATGATAACGGAATACAGCCCAAGGAAAAGACTGTTTAGCTTAAATACTGACTGCAATAGTTTAAAAAAATTAAAGGATGCAGAGAAGTAAGGATGATGAGGATTTTAAAACAGCTGACATCCAGGCAGAAAGTATCCAACAGTGATTATTATAAGACATCATAAGAACAACTGGAGCAGAACAAAAGGGACATCCAGAGGGAGTTAGTGAGGAAGCCTTGATCACAAGGCCCACCTTTCTAAATAGAGGCCTCACATCCAAGGAAACTAACTATTGAGGTACCAAGATGCTTGGTCAATGAAGTGAAAGAAACAGGAGGCTATTAAATGACAGTGATTAAGAGGTAGACAGTAAGTAAGTACAAACATCGTATAGCAATTAAAAAATTAACCAAAAAAAAAAAAAAGAGGTAGAGAGTAATGTAGCCTAACAGCATAAGCCTAGAGGGAAGAAGGGTTTTCATAAACCAGTAGAGTGACTACAGATGCTGCAGCAGAAGCTTCCTCCTCCTTTAGCCTTTGCTGGTATTACCTAAGGCTCAGCTTTCAAATCAATGCTTCTCAAAGGGAACTGTGTATCACCAGCCTAGCAGCGCCTCAAGTATTTGTGAAAAATGTAGGTCCCTGGGTCTGATCCCGGGCCTGCTAAACCTTAATCTCTGAGGCTAGGATTTGGATATTCTGTAAAGAAATTGTTGGCAAATTATACCATTTAGTTTTTAGGAACTAAAATCAAACTGAATTTTCCAAGCTCAAAGATGCTAACCGTGACAGCTCAAAATGTAATCCTGGATCAGCACATGGCTCTGGTTTCCCCTACCCTGCTGGCTACTGGGCCTCAGTCTCCTCCCCTTAACCTCTAAATGCTGGAGTGTCCCAGAGCTATCTGTGTCCCTTCCACATATTCTCTCTAGATGATCCCAACTAGCCTCATGGTTTAAAACACCATCCATGTAATGTCTCCCAAATCTGCAAATCCAGTCCTGATCTTCCCTTGGAATTCAAGTTTCCCATAGCCAGTCATCACTTTATATTTTCATACAAATGTCTATGAGCATCTCACACTCAAGTGGCCCAAACCTGCTGCCTGCCCAACCCTTCCTCCTGTCAGTGAATAAAGCCACTCGTCATCAAGATACTCAAACTGAAAATTGAGGACTTGATTCTTCTTTCACCTTTTCAGTCCACACCCTATCCGTCAGCAAAATCTGGGATTCTACCTCCAAAACATACCTGGAGACCACCTACTTCTCTGTCTTAATTACTACCTACCTAGTAAATCTCACCAGCACCGCCAGTGTTTGTGGCTGGTCTCTCTCTTTTCATTGCTATCCACCATGACCTCCACACAGCAACCCAAGCAATCATTTAAAAAGTATATTACTTGCCCTAGCATTCTGGGAGGCCAAGGTGGGAGGATCGCTTGAGCTCAGAAGTTAAAGACCAGCCTGAGCAATAGCAAGACCTTGTCTCTACTAAAAATAGAAAAATTAGTTGGGCATCGTGGCATGGGCCTGTAGTCCCAGCTACTCAGGAGGTTGAGGAAGGAGGATCACTTGAGCCCAGGACTGTGAGATTGCAGAGCTACAATGACACCACTGCACTCTCTCTAGGGCAACAGAGCGAGACTCGTCTCAAAAAAATAAATAAAGTGTATTACTCGGCTTCGTTTAAATCCCCCCATCATCTTCCCCTTGTATGTACACTTGATCTTAGCCAAAAGGCCAAGAAACAATTCCCCCTCGTATGTAGAACAAAATCCAACTCCTTACCTTGGCATCATTTCCCACTAGTCCTCTCTGTATGTGCTACAATAGACTCAGTGTGGTTCCCAATACTTAGAACTCATTCTTTCTGACTTCTGGGCCTTTGCACTAGCTTTTCCCTCTGTCTAGAATTCTCTTCCCCAATTCACACGGTTGACTCCTTCTTGTCATTCATACTTCACGTAGACTAAGTTATAACCCCCTTGAACAGAGAATGACTCCTTCAGGCTAGACTGAGATTATTTATTACATTGATACCAGTAGAAATGGGTTTTTAAATTTTTTTTAAGAGATAGGGTTTCACTCTGTCACCCAGGCGGGAGTGTAGTAGTGCAATCACAGCTCACTGCATCCTCCAACTCCTGTGCTCAAATGGTCCTCCAGCCTTAGCCTCCCACTTAGCTAGGACTGCGGGCACCTGCCACCATGCTCAGCTAACTAAAATTTTCTTCTTTTGTAGAGATGGGGTCTCACTATTAGAAAGGTTTTAATGACATGAGAATGAGTCAGAGTGACTCAGATAAGCAGCAAGGTATAATTTCCCGAAATTTCTTTTTAATGTACTCCTTGAGCATTTCCCTGGAGTTACATAAGTGTCCCACCCACTGCCCTCTTCTCTCTTCCTTTACCCAGGCACCCCTTCTTGCCTGTTGTTATCTACACTGTATACTGTGTTGTGTCCCAGCTTACTCTAACTTAGTAACTATGCTCCCTTCATGAAAGCCATAGTTCTTATGAGAAGACGGAAAATTCATCTTACTCAGGCAACATAAGCAGGCACTAAAGTATTCGTTAAAGAAATAAGAGAACACCCTTTATTAATAATACTGAAGGCACAGATACCACTGGATAAAAAGGGACAAGTTAAATATTCCCACGCCATTACAGGAAGGGAAAGAGATATTATGAACGTAAACTGGGCACAGCATCATATTCACCCAGCTCATAGCTGACACAGGGAAGGAAGCCTCTTACTATTAGGTTGGTTCCCAAGAGTGATTCCTTAGAATCCCATCTTACCCAGGGAATCAAGGGTCTCATAATTGGTCTTCATCTCTTGCTTATACATTTCCTTCTGCCATTTCTCCAGGATCTCCCACTCTTGCTCCGAAAAATATAAGGCCACATCATCAAATGTCACGGTTACCTGGAGCCACAAACGGTATATACATACATTTTCACTTCAAGGCTACTTTGTTTTTCAATGTCCACGACTTCATTAAGAGAAAGAATAGTTATCTCTGGATGGTGCCATATAATACAATGAACATGATAAAGGGGAGCCAAGTAGAGTGAATGAAAGAAGAGCAGTCCTTTGAGCACACGCACCATCTAAAGAGGAGCCTTTACTTAGCAGCAACCAACTATTGCTCTGCAAGACCGGGCCCAGCGTAGCTGGATGTGTCAATTTAAAAAAAAAATTTATGGCTGGATGCGGTGGCTCAAGCCTGTAATCCTAGCACTCTGGGAGGCCGAGGCGGATGGATCGTTTGAGCTCAGGAGTTCGAGACCAGCCTGAGCAAGAGTGAGACCCCGTCTCTACTAAAAATAGAAAGAAATTAGCTAGACAACTAAAAATATATATAGAAAAAATTAGCCAGGTATGGTGGTGTGTGCCTGTAGTCCCAGCTACTTGGGAGGCTGAGGCAGGGGGATCACTTGAGCCCAGGAGTTTGAGGTTGCTGTGAGATAGGCTGACGCCACGGCACTCTAGCCCAGGCGAGAGAGAGAGAGACTCTGTCTCAAAAAAAAAAAAAAAAAGAAATTATTTTGAAATAATTATAGTTTCACAGGGAGTTACAAAGATAACTGCAGAAAAGCTCCAAGCACCCTTCACCTAGTTTACTTCAAAGGTCATATTATACATTATTATAGTACAATATCAAAAATAGAAAATTGACGTTGGTATAATTTATGTGTATAATTCTATGTGATTTCATCTCATGTGCTGACTCATGTAACCACACTGCAATGAAGAAACAAAAGAACAGTCAGCCCTCCATATTCCTGAGTTCTGCATCCATGGATGCAGCCAACCTCAGATCGAAAAAATTTTAAAAAGCAATTAAAAACTATAAAAATACAAATAATCTAGCATAAAAACTATTTACACAGCATTTCCATTGTATTAGGTATTATAAGTAATCCAGGGATGATTTAAAGTATATGAAAGGATGCATGTAAGTTATATGCAAATACTATGCCATTTTACATAAAGGACTTGAGCATCCATGGATTTTGGTATCTGAGGGGCATCCTGGAACCAATCCCTCTCAGATACTGAGGAATGACTATCACAAATGACTATCACATCCTTCATCACAAAGAGGATGTTCCAACCCTTTATAATCACACTCACTAATCTATCATCCATCACAATTTTGTCATTTCAAGAATGTTACATATGGAATCTTATAATATGCAACCTTTTGAGATTGATTTTTTTCACTCAGGACGTCCTTGAGATCCATCCACGTTGTCATGTTTAGCAATACAGTCATGTGCCACATAACAATGCTTTGGTCAAGTATGCAACACATATACCACAGTGATCCCATAAGATTATAAGACTGTATTTTTACTGTACCTTTTCAGTTTAGATACACAAATGCTTATCACTGTTACAACTGCCTATAGTATTCAGTACAGTAACATGTTATACAAGTCTGTGCCTAGGAGCAGGAGGCTATACTATATAGCCTAGGTGGTAGTAGGCTGTACCATCTAGGTTTGTGTAAGCACTCTCTGATGTTTGCACAATAACAAAATCACCAAATAATGAATTTCTCAGAATGTATCCCTGTCATTAAGTGATATATGACGTCATTTCATTTTTATTGCTGAGTAGTAGTCCATGGTATGGATGTACAATTTGATTCACTATTTTAACAACAGAGTGTTCCAAACGAAATGTCTGCAAGCCATTCAACTATTGAGGGATATTTGGAATGGACATGTTTTCATTTTTCTGGGATAAACACCCAGGACTACAGCTACTACGCTGTATGGAAAGTATATGTTTAGTTTTTAAAGCAACTGCCAAACTATTTTCCAGAGTGGCCAAACCATTTTGCATTCCTACCAGCAATGTATAAGAGATAACTTCTCAGCACCCTCACCAGTATTTGGTAATGACACTTTTTAAACATTTTAACTGTTCTAATAGGTACATAGTGATATCTTACTGTGGTTTTAAATTTTCCTAATGAGTTACCGAACATCTTCTCGTGTGTTTATTTCCCATGCATACATTCTCTTAGGCAAAAGGTCTCTTTATAATTTTCCTAATTTCTAACTGGAATTTTTTGTTACTATTCTGTGAGAGTTCTTTATATATTCTAAATATAAGTCCTTTGTCAGATATGCAGTTTGCAAATATGTTCCCCCAGTCTGTATCTTATCTTTTTTATATCTTTCACAATAGTTAATTTTGATTATGTACAACTTAGCATTTCTCTTTATAGATTGTGCTTTTTTTGGTGTTACATCTAAGAACTTTCACCATGTCCTAGGTCCCAAAGATTTTCTCCAATATCATCTTCTATAGGTTTTACAGTTTTATATTTTATATTGGAGTGTGTCAGTTTTTAAAGAAAAACAGGAAATGTACATCATATTATGTGAACCCTCATCTTGGCAATTAAAATTCACTATTTTAACAACAAAGAGTGTTCCAAACAAAATGTCTGCAAGCCATGATTGGCTCATGGACCATTAATCTACAATCTCTGGTGTGGACTGACTAACCAGGGCTGTTTCTCCTAGGGGTGTGGAGGACAGATACACTATGGCAATAGGGAAGCTGTAGAACATATATAAATTAAAAATTCCATTCTCACTCCTTTCAGATCCTGTGCTACAAGCATAGTTGAGAGCCTTCCCTAAGAAGCTGGTCATCTAGAAAGATAGCTAGGGCTCTTCCCAAGTATATAAAAAATGGTGGTCACAAGTACTACAAAGTAAATTCTCCCAATAAGGGAATCTAGGAGACCTTATAACCAAGGCCCTTTGACAGTCAAGATTTTGAGGAGAAAAGTTGTAGAGATAAAATTCTATCATCAAAAGTATCACACGCTCTGAAAACTTACGTACCAGGTATTATAACAATCAAGTTGAAACTGATTGGTGTTTTTATAATGAGATTTCAACAAAATTCCTCTACAGTTTCCTTGTACCTCACCCACGTTTTCCATCTACAAAAGACGCATTTGTGACCATATTTAAAATTAGCACTGAGGCTCCCCAGTGTAAAGGAAAATTTAAAAAAATGATTTCTCCTTGCCTATCCCAAATAATACAATAGCCAAGAAGCTATCATTACATGTTCTATGGACTCAAATTTATAGCCAAAGGAGCAACATACCACACACTTTCACAGAACAGAGAGGAATATTCCAGGAGGTTCCCAACTGCCTAGAGAAGGAGAAAGAAAAACAAAGGCAAGCCTGGCTGAAGGGACACAGCTTGAAGAATTCGGGAAAGAATGTGTACTTGCCAAGGAAGGCTGAGGAAAGGGAATGGGAGGCAGAAGAGAAGAATAAAATGCAAACAGGGAGCGTTACATTAGTAATATTAAATTTTTAAATTTCAGTGGGGGTACAAGGACAATTTGCATATGTAAGCAGGTTGTACTTAACTGAAAGTAATGGGGTTTCTTGGATTAAGCCTCAGGATACGCCTTTCAAACTCTAAAACCAGTGTTCAAATGTTCCACTACCATACTACAGCACTGGCGGTAAATTTGATATAACTACCTAAACTGGTTTCAAGTTTTCTGCCCTTTCCTAAAGGGAGCAGTCTCCAATTTCTCAGTTCGTTTTCCTTCCCCTCTTTTTCTCATCTGCTTCAGCAGATGTGCTTCTCTGAGCAGCAGACCATGGAACAGCCACTTCCCTTACATGTGACCCCAAGAAAGACCCAGAACGTCACAGCCCTGAGGGTGGGGACAGTGGTTGACCAGAGTAGACAATAGGCCCAGACACCAGACCTCACCAGGCCTCTTATTTCCAAACTAATCTTTTTTTTTTTTTGCCCAAAGAGACAGGATCTCCCTGTGTTACCCAGGCCGAATGCAGGGGCTATTCACCGGCGCAATCCCACTACGGATCTGCACGGGAGTTTTGCCTGCTTCGTTTCCGACCTGGGCCAGTTCACCCCTTCTTAGGCATCGCGGTGGTTCCCCGCTCCCGAAAAGTCACCCAACATAGATGCCCAACTTGGTGTCGACACGCCATGGGCACAGCTCCTGGGCTCAAGCGACGGAGCAGCTGGGACCACCGGCGAACGCCACCGCGCCCCACCCCACTTCGCCCAAACCGACTTATTCCCAGATCAATTCCACAACACTGCGCACCAAGACGGCGCCTTCTCCAGCCCAGGCTCGGAGCTCAGTCCCGGGGCGAAAGACAATCCCCCCAGGCCCGGGTTTCCTCCGCCTCACTCCCTAGACCGGGACCCAACTCCGGCCGTGACAGGACTGTAGTTTCGGCAGAGCCTGCAGCCTCGACCGGCCCCTCTTACCGAAGCCGGCTGGGCCATGGCGGCTCCGCGGGAACCGGCCCCGCAGCGCACGGCCCCCGGCACCGCCCCGAACCCCAGCAGTGCCCGGGTATCGCCCCCAACCCCCGCTGCCAAAACGCAGCGCTGGCCAGGGCGCGGTGCATACTGGGACTCTGCGACCCGGGACCCAGGGCGCCCCGCCCCCATAGCGCCCTCGGCGCCCGGGAGGAGCAGGAGCTCCCGACAGCGCCCCCGTCGGGCGGGAGGAGCCGGTACAGTTCCGGGGACGACCCTCAGGGGCGGGATCTGGGGCCCAGGACACCCAGCCCGACGGCGCCCCCTGCGGCCGGGAGGAGCAGGCGCCGCTCGGGGACAGCCCTCCTAGGAGAGCCCCTGGCCCAGGCCGCAAAGGCCACAGCCCGCCATGTGTGATGGATCCTCGGACTGTGTTGGGATCTCCAAGGGAAGGGAACAGTTGGAGAGGAGCTGGAGGAACGCAGGAGAGAGGGGGAAACGGTGTGGCAGCTGGAAGTGGAGAGAGAAGAGTCAGGGACCGGGAGACACATTCCCCCCAGAAGCCGAGACTGAGTGCAGGGGCTGGCGAGGGAAGGAGTGGTCTGCGTTGGTCCCGCAAAGCCGACC